GTCTGTCAGATCTGCCTGGCTCTGCCCTACCTATCATTATCAGAGCAGCCCCGACCCTGAATCCCAGTGGAAGTGGCGGAAGGGACTGCAGTGAGGCTAACAGAATTATCGATGTAAAGACTTCATTCCTTTAAAGCCAGACCCCAAGAAGTCAGTCTGCTGTTTGGCAGTAACAGCACATCATCCTACCTGTCACGAAGGCAAGCTGCAGAGGAGTGGGTGGGGCAGGCAGACACCAGAGTTTAACAGGGCAGTCACAGGAATGGCTAATTGGCTTTAAAGAAAAACAAATATAGGCTAGGTCTACACTACAAATTACTTTGGTATAACTTACATCACTCAGGGGTGTGAATAATCCACACCCCTGAGCGACGTAAATTACACACACCGGCGTGGACAGCGCTAGGTCGGCGGGAGAGCTTCTCCCACTGACATAGCTACCGCCTCTCGCGGAGGCAGGCGTTATTAAGCCGATGGGAGAGCTCTCGCCTGTTGGCTTACAGTGTCTTCAAAGCGCTACAGCGGCACAGCTGCACCACTGTAACTGCGGTAGTGTAGACACAGCCATAGTAATAACCTTCCAAGTAACACAGGAAGTATGAAGAGTGTCACGTTCGCCCATGGAGTGGTCTACAAATAATAAAAACACAATAGAATTCATGTCACCTTATTTAAACGGAACAGGTGAGAGAAGAGAGCAGCAGCTTCCAGCGGGAGGAAATCAAAGAAGATTACAGAGGGGATAACAAAGTCTGGACTTAGACTGATGAGTGGCTGAAAATAAGAGCAGTTGGGACATTTCTGTGTGGGTCTTTGTTTGACAGCTCTGTAGGAGGAGGGCTGGACAAGGAGCTGGGGCTGTGAGCCACTGCTGCCAAGGCAGGCACAAAAGCCTAGGACTCAGCAACTGGTCAGAAAGCAGCAACCAGTTGAGCTACAAGGGACTTTCTAAAATGAGGGACTGTGGTGTTCAGTTCAAATTCTGAGAGACCACGGAGAAAGCAATAAAGTGACAACAGAAAGGGGATTTGGATCAGAAAAGGCAAATTGCGGCAGAGAATTCAGCAGAGGAGAGAATTCCTTACCTTGGGATCAGCAACTTACCACTCCACCGAAGGGGGCATGAGTGTTTCCATTCTCACCCCATTTTCAGATGTTTAATAATTTTTTTTTAAATGTTCAACTTTTGGGCTCAGATTTTTCAGTGTTAGTCCCTCCCTGAAGAAGATTACTTTTTGAAAATATGAGCAAAACTGGTTCTTTCATTGTATTTTACATAGCAAATGGTAAAATACTTATCCTACTATGAAAAAAAATTGCAACCTTGTTTTGAACAGGTCTTGTGCAGCAGGTGGGTGTAGAAAGCTGAAATTTGGAAGAGGAAGTAGTCCTCACTGGGGAAAAGTGCTATTGAAGACTTTCCTGAAAACTGGTTATCCTTTGGCCCCGTTATGAGCCTGCGTAAACACTACACTGACCTCTTGCTTTGTATTGGTCTCATGAAGGGCCTGATTCTCCACTGCTGTGCACCTTTTGGAGTCAGAAATCCGTGCACAGTGAAAATAAAAAGTCGCCCTTATGAACTGGTAGCGCACCAGCTTTGCATTTTCTTTGCCTAGGTGTAAAGAGGTGCAGAATTGGGCCCAATCCTGCAAAAACGTAAGTGCAGAACCAGAGCCTCAGTTTGTAAATTGCACTTACAAGTCAGGAAACAACATCATTAAGGTTCCTTAACCTTCCCCTTGCCTACCTGTGTGTATGCATTCCACTGCCATCGTCAATTACATGGTCACGGAATATAGCTCAAATACTACCACTTTTTCTGCAGTCATGGCCACATGTGTGTAATGTGTACTAACTGTGTATCATTGTATGTGAAAGGCACTCAATACACCATACTTGCACAACAGATTAAGTATAACACCATGGAGTAATTAATTATGAACATTTATCATCCTATCTACATCCCTAAACTTTGCAGTTAAGTCAGAGTCATAGTTAAGTGCCTCATTGCCTGATCTGCACTTAAGGAAGGCTCTGTGCTCCACATGCGTGTCTAGCTGAGATAGCTTTGTAGTTACCTACAATCCAAACTAGTCATGTGAATTTAACATTTATGGAAGGTTGTGGGTCAGCTGACTGATTTATTTTCCATGTAACAATAATGCCATCTACCAAATATTTCTCCATGCTAATTGGGGAGATGGTCAATTTCTATGGGCCTCCTGATTCTGCCAGCCCCAATTTAATTTTGTTATTGCCATGGGAATTTCTGCTCCCTGTATGGGCAGCTCTTTCCATGCTAATTAGATTTTCCTTCACTGGATGGTCACAGCTGTCCATGCTCATTAATACTTCCATTCATTTACATAAGACAGCAGTTGATGCATGCACACTAGAAACCATGCCTTTGAAGCGACATTCTGAATTCATCAGACTTTATCACTAGTCTACACACACATGTGGGTGACAGAGAAAGTACAAATAAGACCGCCCCAATGTATTTTCATCAAGTTTAAAAGTAACCTCTCATTTTTGTCTCCAAATAGAAATCCTTACCACTAGCCACTGTGCTGCAGCTCATTCCAAACAGACACACAGAACTTGCCTACAATATGCAGTAAAATGTCCTCTCTCCAACCAGGGCTGGCTCTAGGCACAAGCTGGTGCTTGGGGCAGCACATTTTTAGGGGCGGCATGGCCGGCGCCAGAATGCCGCCCCTAAAAATGTGCCCCGGCCGCCCTAGCTCACCTCCGCTGCTGCCGCTCGTGCGCTGCTGCTCCCCCTCCCTCCCAGGCTCTCAAACCTGGGAGGGAGGGAGAGATCCCGAGCGGCCGCGGCGCGCGAAACAGCCGATTCGCGCGCCACTTCTCCCCCTCCCTCCTAGGCTTGAGAGAGGGGATTTGGGGAAGGAGCGGACCTGAGGCGGGGCCGGGGGTGGGGTCAGAAAAAAACGGGGGGGCAGCCAAAATTGTTTCTGCTTGGGGCGGCAAAAATCCTAGAGCCGGCCCTGTCTCCAACTCAGCCTGCCTGCTCTGGGTCAGGGAAACCTGTTCATCTACATAATGATACGTAGTTAGGGATCTAGAATCACCTCTCCTGACTCAGTGCTGAGTTTTCATTCTAATGTGCATGTGCTCGGCCACTCATTGGAGCTATTGCAAGTCTAATTTATATCTCAGCTCTGAAGTAATTAGACCTTTCAAGTAAAAATTCTTGAAAATTGGACGTACAAGGCAGAGTTTCACAAAGGAGAGATGAATGAATCATAGATGTTAGAGATGGAAACGATTTATTAGATTATATGGTCCATCCCCATGCCAGGGCAGGACTGTTCCCTATTATATCATCTAATATAACACCATCAATTAACTGGAAGATGAAGCTTGACAAATTCAGACTGGAAATAAGGTGTAAATTTTTGAGAGAGAGAATAATCAGATATTGGAACAACTTTTCAAGGGTTGTGGTGGATTCTCCATCACTGACCATTTTAAAATCAAGATTGGATGTTTTTCTAAACCAGGGGTCGGCAACATTTCAGAAGTGGTGTGCCAAGTCTTCATTTATTCACTTTAATTTAAGGTTTCGCATGCCAGTAATACATTTTAACATTTTTAGAAGGTCTCTTTCTATAAGTCTATAATATACAACTAAACTATTGTTGTATATAAAGTAAATAAGGTTTTTAAAATGTTTAAGAAGCCTCATTTAAAATTAAATTAAAATGCAGAGCCCCCCCGGACTGGTGGCCAGGACTTGGGCAGTGTGAGTGCCACTGAAAATCAGCTCACATGCTGCCTTTGGCACGCAGGGCTGGCTCCAGTGTTTTTGCCGCCCCAAGCAGCGGAAAAAAAAAAAAGCCGTGATCGGCGGCACTTCAGCGGCAGCTCTACCGCCCCGCTTCATTGTTTCTTCGGCGGCAGGTCCTTCCCTCTGAGACGGTCTGAGGGACCCGCCGCCGAATTACCGCCGAAGAGCTGGCCGTGCCGCCCCTTTCCGTTGGCCGCCCCAAACACCTGCCTGCTACGCTGGTGCCTGGAGCCGGCCCTGTTGGCACGCGTGCCATAGGTTGCCTACCCCTGTTCTAAATGCTATGCTCTAGGAATTGTTTTGGGGAAGTTCTATGGCCTGTGTTAAACAGGAGGTCAGACTACATGATCACAATGATCCCTTCTGGCCTTGAAATCCATGAATCTAGTGTTTTGTGTGATCCAACTTTTAAATGTCTCAAGGAATACAGACTTCCATAAATTCCAGGAAGGCATTTTGACAGTCACTCCCAATAGACTCCGAATTCTGCAAATCCTATTTTTGTTACCCTGCTTCAAACTCGCTTTTTTGTCTCATCCACCCATTGTGTCTTGTCTATTTCAGATCATAAGCTTTTTGAAGCAGAGACTGTCATTTTCTAAATGTTCGTACAGCACCGAGCAGAATGGGGCGCTGGCCTGGTTGAGCTCTAGGCACCAGTGCAATATAAAAGTTAAATAATAATTCCCTTGGGACACTATTCCATAACATCATAGTTGTACTTTCAGGAGTTTTCCATGTGTTCAGTTTATGTTTCATTATAACCTCTTATATCAGACAAATTGATCGATCTCCTTTCTTGTGTTGGCAGCCTGACTCTGCAGATTATCATCATGCACCTGCATTTTCCAAGAAATACAGTGTTCATTCAGGCCCCTTTTTTTTCAGTAGCTAGAAGCCCCTTTTGCAGCATGGTTTGCTACTCTCTCCAGACCTCATCAGTTCTGTTCCTGGAATGGGGCTTGCTTGAGACAGATGGAAGCATAGGGCCTATTGGGGCAGTTTCAACTAGAGAAACTGAAAGCCACATTTGTCATTGTATACAATCATTCCTGTAAGTGGAAGTTATTACCATTAGTGCTGTGGGCCTTCTTAAAAGTGTTAGTTCCCCCCAAGGGTGTAGAAGCTGATTAGTCCCAGTGTAGTTGTGGTGGATCTGTTCTGTTTTACTGTGTTAAATATTTACCTGTGTCAAAAAGGCTTGATCCAGGTTTCCACAAGTCAGTTTCCAAAGCTTTCAAGCATAAAAAGAGAAGAGAAATTATTACTTAAAATCATGGAATTATGGGAAGTTACAAACCACTTTGCACAATTTAGAAAAGTCAATTTGTAGAATGCATCATGATGAGTAGAATCTAGTGAGTTTTTTTGGATCAGCAAACCTGGAAGCCTTTATGAACACATTTCAAGCCCTATTTAGTAGCCTTTTAGGGAGCAGGAGATGGAAGGAAGGGGAAGAGGAACAGTCACTGCTCATCATTGGCCTAGGCATAATCAATTGGCAGTTCTGTAGGCTTGGCAGCGGAGATGAGTCTTGGTGAGCGTGGGTGGGTGGGAAATGGCTGAGTTAGACTGCAGGGGGACTGCAAGGATTGCAGAAGGGCTTAGGCAGTGGGTGGTGAACCTGGCTGCAGTCATGTCATGTATTGATCGTTTGTTAATAGAGTGCCAAACGTGTGTCAATTTTTGTTGTGGAGGTGAGCAATGATTTCCAGTGAAACAAGCGTTGTACTTTGCCTTAGCAGCCACTGGAATCTTCCTAGGCCTCCAAAGGGAAAGGTTCACACAAAACAAAACTCGAGCACAGCTGGTTCTATGAAAGGCCCTTCTTTCATCCCATCAGGGGAAAGAGTGCATTCTTCCTATGTAATCTGTTCTACAAACACATCAGCTGTGCGCGGCCAGGGGAAAAAAAGAGGTTTTAAAATTTAAAACATATTGGAGCTGCATCCCACATGGAACTAACCTGCCCTTCCACACTCACTATGACCAGGCAAGATGAGCTGAAGAAAAAGTGGACAGTTAGTTGGTACAAGGGAATGTACCCATCTCACAAACAAAATATTTATTTCCATAACCATCTCATTGTTAAGGGCTATGCTTGTGCTCAAACCCACGTCCCAGCCTTCATGTATTTTTGAATGGAGCACTGGCTCTTTGATTCTTCTGGATTGTTCAATCTCACCACAGATGGGTTCTTTTCAGTAGCACAGGTGGTTCAAATGCTTCTGACATGGTAAAGATCATCCCACTGATGGTCTGTATTTTTGTTGTGAATCACAAGAAAGGAAACACTAAATTTTTGTCCCTGCATTTGAGATGTGGCGAGATGCAAGAACAAAAACAAGGAGGAGTACGGTTAGAGTTTCTACTTAAGAGATACTTCCACTCAGATGATGACAAAACAGATTGTTTGTTTGTTTCAAGAGCCTCACAGATCATTCCAAACCTAAGGGTTTGGAATGATCTGTGAGGCTCTTGAAACAAACAGATTGAGCTCTGTCTACTGCTCCTTCAGGCAGTGTTTCAGTGCTCACATCCTTTAACAAGTTTCTACCGAGGAGTGGTCCCTCCCTTTTCCTTTACAAACACTCATTTTTTTTCATATACAAGTGATAAATGACAAAAATTGAGTGGGCTGATTGCAAATGGGGCAATCCTTAAATCTCAGCGAGAACAGCAGGTTGACAATAATGTCTTATTCCTTGGGATTATAAAAAGATGGATGATAAAGAAAGCTCTAGATGAAATTCACATCCCTGAGAGACAGAAATTAAAATTCTGGAAAGGAGCCAGGATTTATTACATGACGAATGCCCAGTATGCTCTGAACAATCTGTGGTATATTGAGGACTTTGTTGAAATTGCAAGCTGTTACTTTAAGAGTGGGAGTGGGGGTTTCCTTGTCCTGACTGCAGGCTCGGGTTGTTCTGTAGGGAAGTATATGATAATAATCAGTCTGGAAAGAACCAGCCTAGAACAAGGTGGGGTGAGTAGTGCCTCTGAGTTAGGGAGCAGCCTGCTTTGTCTCTTTCTGTGTTTAATTACTGTGTGTTGTCCAGTAGTCTAAGAATAAAAGTAGTGTTATATTGCAACCTTCTAGGAAGAATATTTGATGTTTTCATCTAAATTCTCTGTTTGTATTCCATGAATATAACACAGCCTACCCATAAAAGATCAAATGGGTGTGAAATCTCAATTTGTTGACTTTTGGAATGCAGCAAGATTAGGGTTTTTGCATTTTGAGTACTTTATAAACAATTTTGTGGTGGTGATGGGGTATGGCTTTTTTTAAATAACCCAAGTTTAAGTTCTTTAGAGTGTGAAGAACTACAAGAAGAGTTTGGTCATTATCAGTTGCCTGGGGGAGATGAAATTCCTGAAGAAGTGTAGGAAGAAGCTTGGCAGGAAAATGGATTTATCTGGATGGATGTCAGCTTAAACAAGTGTGAGTAGGCTAATGACAAAAATACTCCTCAGGCATCAGGCCAAGACTGCAGAACTGATCCTGGTTGTTCCACAAGAAGTGTGTGCTCACCTTGTGTGATTAAGAAAAACAAAACTTCATTCCAAGAGAGCATGGAATGGGCCAGTAGCTTCCCTTCAATCATGTGCTGAAGTTGGCTGGAAACAACAATTTTGAGATGCCAAAACTGGTGTTGAAAAAGATGAAGATGGGGACTTGTTGGGAATACAACAAGAATCAAAGGGGGGGTTGATTTTTGGGGGGTTGGTTGTTTTCCTTGTGATTAAAACAACATCGTCATTCATGATATGGAACTCCTGTTTTGTAAGTGCCTTGGAGAAACATTAGGAGGTTTGAACAAAAATATTAGCAGAAATAAAATACCTTCTTCACAACAAACAACTCTCAGCATCGTGCTCCCTCCTCCTTAGGGACAGGTTCTCCCAGACTGGAACACCTGCAGCTCCTTCAGTCCCCATGACATGACTCCTGCTGGTCTTAATTCTGCCCCTTTGAGCTAACCTTCCCCCGCACATGGTGTCACATCCATGTGGAATCAAAGAATCTGGGCACAGCTGTGAGTGGCATCCCCCTACGTAGCTCATCTGCACTAGAAGCACATGCGGGCAGGTAGTGCGGGCTGGTGTCTAGGCTTTCTCCACACCTCCCCGCACCAGTTTTGGCAGGCATGAGAGACAATTGGGGAGAACAAAAAGGAGTGAGGGGATAAACAAAAGGCAGAGAGTATATATGATGGAGAGAACTAATAAGTATGACGGGGGGGACATATCAGGGCAAAAGTTAAGGAAGAGGAAAAGGAGGGGAGGAAGATTGAAGCAAGGGGAAGGAGCATCAGACATTTGCTCTCTTTGACATACATTTGAATGCCCACAAAAGAAATTGTCAACATCATGGACACATTAATTCACACAACTTTACACTGGAGCACATCAATTACTGAGCTAGTACTTTGCTTCACATTCACAAATATGGTGGCATGATGTAACAACTGTTCAGTAGACAAATTGCTACGTGTCTCATGGGATCACCCTGAAAATTGCATGAAATGTTACTTATGATCCTGAAGGGCAAACATTTGAAATGAAAGGGAATGAGGGGACTTTAGGCAATTTCTAACAGTAGACCTTACCGAGATGGACTGGAGACCCGGCAGGTTTCCGGAAGGCTGCGACAGGCTGTTGGCGTTGAATACCTGTGTGATTTGACACAAGGCTCAACTTCAATTGGTTAGTTCAGAGGAATGTGATTACAGGGTGTACAATGGAACTGAAAGTAATACTCATTTGATTTCTTTTGAAGACAAATGGAAAAGGAAGACAGTAACTAAACAAAGAAGTACCTTTAAAGACTGAGACAAAGGGTCAAATTAAGATCTAGTGAAAGTGGATGCTTCTCAGTGAAGTTGTACCCACTTATACCGGGCCTGAATCTAGGGTACAGAATGACTCCTTCAAAGTGCTAAGCTAACTCGACTGCTGGGCACTGAGGGCACTCAGTGACTCTCAGGATCAGGCCCTGGAACCCCAGATTGAAAGACATCTGAGACTTGGTCATAGAGCCTGAACCCCGACTGTTTAGCAATAGCAAACATGCCCTTGTTGAATGGTTTGAGATTATATTTAGAGAACAATTATGAGATTATTTTCATTTCTTTGTTCTTTATCCAAACAAGTAGCCCTTGTTAATTAAGTATATTCCCATGCAATAATCAGTGCAATGTTTGTTAGCATTGCAGACTGCTGGAAAAGAGCTTAGAAGATGAAATAATATTGTATTATTTAACTCTCAGTAGATGCAAATGGTATAATTTGCTACAAAGAGAAACTTGAAAAGTTACTTAAAGCCTTTACCTGTATTGGCTCGAGGAATATTTCTGATACTTGCGTAGGGTGAAGTGCCCCTGGATGCTTTGAAAACATTTTATTGGTCAGTGCACAGAACTTAAATAGAATTGCTTTCATTGTTTTAATTATAAAATCTACTAAGTCTGTATTAGTTTAAGGACATACCTTGATTCTGGCCTCTTCCTTGTGCAGCCTGAACCTGCCCTAAGTAGGCATTAAAATGGAAAATGTCATTTAGATTATGTTTAGTTCAAGACTGCCATTATCTGGGATTTTCAGTGAGTTTCATTTTGCACTTGTCAGAGTTAATGATGTGTATATGGAGTTTCTTTATACTGCAGCAGTGTGCTTGTGCATATTGCTCATACATTTAAGTTGTTTCTTTTGGGGGCAAAGTAAAAATATATAGTTCTTGGTTTTTGTTTTGTTTTTAACTGAGAAGGTTAATTAATATTTCCCACTTTACATTTAGAAATGTTACTTGTACAGGACAGTAGGGCTGCAGGAACAACTTCATAGTTATGGTTGTGACTTAGTTTCTAGTATAACCCTTATTTAAACGCTTTCCCCATCTTTATTGTTCTTATTAAGTATTTGGAATGCAGCATCACCTAGGAGCCCCAGCCAAAGACCAGGACTTCATCGTCAGGGCCGGTGCTACCATTTAGGCAAACTAGGCGGTTGCCTAGGGCGCCAAGATTTGGGGGCACCAAAAAGCAGTGCCCCCAATTTTTTTTTACAGCGTTCCTACGCCCCCTCCCCGAGCACGCAGTCACCACTCTACTTCTCCCGCCTCCCAGGCTTGCAGCGCCAATCAGCTGTTTGGCGCCGCAAGTCTGGGAGGGGAGAAGAATTAGAACGGGGGCGGTGTGCTCGGGAAGGAGGCGGAGCAGAGGTGAGCTGGGGTGGGGAGCTGCCGCATGGCTCCCCGGGCCAGGAGGGTGGGGAGCTTCCGTGGGGGTGCCTCAGGGTGGGGGGGAGGAGCAGAGCTGCTGCAGGGCTCCCCACCGCAGCTCACCTCTGCTCCACCTCCTCCCCGAGCACACCGCCCCCGCTCTAATTCTCCTCCCTTCCCAGGCTTGTGGCACCAAACAGCTGATTGGCGCTGCAAGCCTGGGAGGCAGGAGAAGTGGAGCATCGACGGCATGCTCAGGAAGGGGGCGTAGCAGAGCTGAGCTGGGGTGGGGAGCTGCCGCACAGCTCCCTGGGGGGGGAGCTGCCACTGGGGGGGCGCCTCCGGGCAGAGGGCGGGCGCTGCCGTGGGGGGGGGGGACGCCTCAAGGTGAGGGGGGGGGGGGCGCAAGGTGGAAGTTTCACTCCCGCCCATGCCAAGATCAAACACAGCCCGGCCCTGTATTTATAATCCTTTTGACTACACTGGGTTTTGAGGAAGCTAGCCCCTGAAGACATGTTATCAATGCCTCAGAATGGTGCTTAGTTCTGTTGGCCTTCATTAGCCCAGATAAACAGGAGGGTTTTTGAATTACAGCTCCAGTGCCTACAAGGGTGGTTGTTCTTTTAAATATAAGACAAGCCAGGGAGCCTGCCCCACTGCAGTCTGCTAAAAAGTGAATGTTTATTGAACTGGAGCACTGACCAAGCAGGGGGCTGTGGCATGAGGAGAGGTCTGTGACAAACTGGTGGCAGGCGGTCAAACAGAGTGAATCCCCAGAAGAAAGCAATCAAAAGTTAACAAGGTGCAGACCTGTTCAGCTGAGTGCTATGACTGCAAACTGCAGCGAGGGCAGTAAAGTCCAGTTACTGGAGCTTTGGGAAAAGTCAGGAATTAATGTTAAATGTGTAACTGCAGACCAGCTCTGGGATGCTTTGATTAAATATGACCAGGCAGAACACATAGCTAATACACTGCAATCTAGGCCTAGAATCAAGAAAATGCATTCTGTGCCAGGGAGCTAGTCGGAGCCCATGGCTGGAAACTGATCCCAGTCTGTGATTGGGACAAGCCTTATGGTGTGAGCGTGAACCAGAGGTCATGGTGGCTGCTGAGGAAGATAGATATACCAAGGGCACAGAGGTGGAGATGGATGGGCTAACCCAGCCAGCACAGCTGAGCAGCAGAGAAAGTTGTGAGCTGGAGTGGGAAAAACTGCAAGACCATACACAGCAACGGGAGCTGGAGTGAGAGAGAGACTGAGAGCAGCGTACAGAAGGTGTGGAGAAGTGGCTGCAGGAATGGCAGCAGTTGGGCCAGCAGGCAGTCCCTGGAGGAGTAAGTGGTCAGGGTTATCTTGGGAAAGAGCCAAGGTCCAAAAATAAACTCCAGGTTTTTTTGCCCCAGTGCCAGGTGAGAGATCTTCTTCAACAGCACAAATGTGTTGGTAGGTACTGTTAGACAAGTGGTCTTAGGGTACGTCTATACCCAGCCGCTAGTTCGGCGGCTGGCAATCGAACTTCTGGGTTCGACTTATCGCGTCTTGTCTGGACGCGATAAGTCGAACCCGGAAGTGCTCGCCGTCGACTGCGGTACTCCAGCTCGGCGAGAGGAGTACCGCGAAGTCGACGGGGGAGCCTGCCTGCCGCGTATGGACCGAGGTAAGTTCGAACTAAGGTACTTCGAACTTCAGCTACGTTATTCACGTAGCTGAAGTTGCGTACCTTAGTTCGATTTGGGGGTTTAGTGTAGACCAAGCCTTAGTCCCCTCATCTTGCTCCACTGCTTCTAGGAAGGCTTATACCTACTCAAATACAAAGCCTGTCTGGAATATGTGAATAAAAAGTAGCCTTACTGGAAAATTCTCATCTGACCTAGAGGCCTATGTACTGAAATACCTACAGAGTAAGAAGGCCTATTACAGCATGTACATTTGTATGCTTATTTATTTATTTATTAGATGCATTCCAATAGTGTCTAATTCAGGCCTACCAAGTATCATGCATCTTGCACTGACATTCATGCATTAGGCAGCCCTCTCACTAGGGTTGACAACTTTGTAATTGCCGACAACCGGACCCATCTGCCCCACCCCTCCCTCATGAGGCTCCGCCCCCTGCTTCACCTCTTCCCCCAAGGCCCCACTCCCTGCTCCACCTCTTCCCTCAAGACCCCAACCCCAGCTCCACCTTCTCCTCCAGGCCCAACCTCCACTCATGTCTCTCCCCTGCATCATTTGCTGCTCTCCTCCATCCCCATAGCTGGAGCCTCTTCACCTCCCTTCCTCCTCCCCCTGCTGGGCTCCCTCTGCTCCTGAGCTGCAGACCCTGTCACAGAGCCTGCCTGCCCACGAGATGCAGGTAGGAGGCAGCCCTGGCTGAGTAGGGACTGACGTGGGTTAATGACCCATTGCTTCCCCCCCGCCCCCCAATCACCCACCCGCAGTAACCAGACTTTTGATGTCCAGTCAGTAGATCTGACTGGACACTGCCAGGTCCCCTTTTCAACCAGACTTTCCGGTCAAAAACCAGGCACCTGGCAACCGTACTTATCATGCCTAAATCATGTGAAAGATTGGGCCTGTAGTGGAGCAGGCCCATCCCTGCTGTTTTTTGCCTGATTACATGTCATCTACTGAGACAATCAATGTTTAGATATAACATTTGGGGCTCTTATATTGCGGTTTATTTGTTAATTCATGTTTTTCTGACAAGGAAAACAAGGTGAAAATCAAAAAGGAAGACTATAAGGAAGGAAGCACAAATACAAGGACTGTTAGGGGCAGCAAGGAGTATTTTCTTCTGAGAGACTCTAAGCCATAAATCACCTTTGGTTTAATCATGTAAACTTTTCCGAATACCAGTGGTTGGTAGTGGCAAAGCATCTTTTCCTTTAGATGCAACCATAGTGGTAATCGTTTGAACTACGTTGTGTTCCAAGTGAGTTTACTCTGGAGGTGCCTTTTGAAAGCAAGTTACCAATGTATCATGATGGTCAGATGTGAGTCCCCATTAGCCAGGACAAACAAGAGAGTGTTTGATTCCTTCTCCAGTTTCTACAGGATCTCACTATTTTTAAATTTTGGACCAGACAGATTGTGGTGTGAAGCTGGGCATCCTCAAAAGCTCCAGTCTGAATCGTAAAAGTGAGTACTGAATGCATGTAAGGCTGAGGCATCTGAGAGGGAATCTGTGATGATCAGACAAAAATGGGGCCTTTTAAAAATTTTTTTGGCAATAGTTTGATTTTTTTTAAATGAAGTATTTAGAATTCAGAAAACATTCTCACCAGATGACAACAATGATGCAGTAGGCCAGATTTGGGGTATAAATACTGTGCTTGGCAATGTCCTAAAAATCATATTAATGTGTTTGGTCCCAATTGTGTTCCTGACAGCAGGATATCTCCCATGGTCCTCAACACTGACACATAATGAGGTACCGCCCCATACCCTGGGCCCTTATAATCTTTCTGCATGTATAGCCTTTTTTCTGTTTTGGGAAGAGATTCACATTAGGAACCTAATTCAAGAAATTTAAGAAGAAACCTGGATCTAAAATGCGATCAGGAGACTAATCAAAGACAAATCAAAATCATGAATACATTTCATTTTAAAGTCTTAGGATGAAATCCTGGCCCCACTGAAGTACATGACAAAACTACCATTGATTTCAATGCGGTTAGAATTTCACCCTTAATCTACATCCTCTGACTGATTTGGGATCCTCAAACAGGCTTTTAACATCCTTTTTAAAGAAAACGTGGTCTAACTTGTGTCCTGCCCTGCATGAACATGAAACAGAAAAGGGAGAAGCACACAAAGGTTTTATAAAGCTTTATAAAGCAGATTTATAAAGCTATTTAGGTGCCTAAAGATGAATTCAGGCACCTAGAGCAATTTATAAAAGTGCCTAAAAAGAGTTAGACACCTAATCCCATTGACATATGGTTTGGTGCTTTTGAAAATCCCACTAGGCACCTATCTGCATTTTAGCACAATTAAATACATTTGTAGATCTGTCCCTAAGAGACTACAGCCCAGATCCTCAAAGGTATTTAAGTGAAATCAATGAGAATTAGACACCAAAATACCTTTTGAGTATCTGGATTTATGGCTCTCTTTCCATCTTTGTGCAGAGCAGGAGCATAATCCAGCTGGAGAGAGCGCACAGGCACTGCAAAAGGCCACCACATTTTGTAGGTCCCCAAAAAGGGAATGAAGGGGTGAAGTGAAGGTGGAACTATATTGGCCCAGAAGAGATGCCCTGGTGTAGAAGAGAATGGAGAGCCAGACTGAGTCAGAGTTCCATAAAGGACTTTCACTGCAGCACAACTCCTCACATGACAATCTGCCCTAGAGATGAACACTTGCACATTAGAATAAATGCCTCAAGGAATCAAAATCTTTCCTCTCCTTCCTATTTTTTTCTCCCCAATGCTTTCAAGGTGTACCTCGGTGAGGTGGTAATACAGTGGGATTCACAACTTAATTTAATGAATCTTGCTCTCAGTACTTGAATTAGCTAGCAGATAACCATTGCATCCATCTGGTAGGATACCGAATGGCTACTCTTAATTTCAAAGGAGCTTATTTAACAAGACAAAACATCCCAGTTTTGCTTTCAGACATATGGACACCGTTCCCATTGGCTTCAGTGACAGTTGTACCTATGTATCTGAGCAGAACCAAGCCCAAGGTGCTCGGAAAGGATGGCAGATGTAACAGCTGAGCACAGCACGGGTTCCTTTTCACTCAGTAGAAGGCAGATTTCAGTGCTCAGTCTGGAGAAACTTGCTAGCATTTGAAAATGTGTTTCTTTTTCTTCTCAGCTGAGTAATTAAATACTGCAAGTTGCTTCAAATATTTGTATTACAGCTTGTGGGCTAGAATGGAAGCAGGTTTCTTGGATCAAGATGAAGGAGGAACTTTGACCAAACATGATGCTGTTGTCAATAACACTAATGCAAAGCCAGGAAAAACATCACATTTATGCCACACCCTGGGCCTTGGTCTGAGGTTTTCCAAACAGCCCTGGCCTAACTTAAGTCAGTGTTTCAAAGCTTTCAGCTCTCAGGGAGTGACTTTAAATAATTATCCCACAGTCTGAATTACATATGTCGGAGCAATAGTAAAGTTTTGGGTTTTGGTGGGGTGAGGGGAGAGAGTGTAAGACGAGAGGGGCCAGTATGAAAATATACATCAAGTAGCTCAGGGGGCTTGGAAAAATTCAAGTGTTGGAAGACTGAGTGCCCATAATTTACCAGGGCAGAAACTTGCAACAAGTGTCTCAAGTTAGACACCTAGGTAACAGTGGTTCATTTTCAGAGATGCCGAGCACCAATATCTCCCACTGGAGTTGTGGGTGCTCAGCATCTCTGCCAGTTAGGCTGTGTGTTTATTTTCATGTTTACATACAGATTTAGATGATTCATTTCAGGCCCCCCATGTTTGGAAATGCTGACCCAGGTTTGTGCAGGATTTCCTCAAATTTCACTTTAAAAACTGGGGTGAAATCCTGGCCGTTCTGAAGTCAATGGGAGTTTTGCCATTGGCGTCACTGGGGCCAGGATTTCACTCCAGTTTTGCAAATCTGAGCCTTAATGATACTGCAACCCTGCTGCTTTAATATGCACTTTATCCACTCCTCACAACCACTGTACTTACTTGATGCTGCAGCTGCCACAGCTGAGTAAACTGGATGGACGCTGCTAGGACCTAGGCAGAAACCAAACAGTTTCTAACTGTAAAAGGTGTTAAACAATAAAAACAATGTCCATGCTTGTTAACGAATGAAAGTGGGGGTGGGGGTAGGACCAGGGAAAATCAGGTCAGAAAAGTCCATAGTAGAGAGCTCTTGCTGAGGGTCCTTTTTAGGGTCCAAGTAGGATTGTGGGGGGGAAAGTAATTGCAAAAAATCTATTTTGAGTAATATACTTGAAAGTGATCATGAAAAGATTGTCAAATCTGCATGCTGAATTATCAGCCCACCTGTACAGCTGGCCAAATCATTCAAAGGAATATTTGTTGAATAACACATTTGAAAATGATCATGATTTTATTGTGGGCAGAGGAGGGTCCGAACTCGGGTGGAACAATGCAATTCAGATGTAAGTCTATATTTTATCTATTTGGAAGTAGAATCCATAAGTAGCACGTCTTACTCCTGAGATATATATTGATATATAGATAACTAATATGAATGTAGCCACTTTTACCTATTACAGTCTATACTTACATAACATGTGGTTTATGTTTATGAAACATACTTTCTTCCAGATGGGCTTTGTAACCTCTCAGAAATCCATATTAGAACACACTAATTCCACCCCTCCTTTTTGCTGATTCTTTTATACATTATTAATATTCCTACATTGTATTATTTAATACATTTTGATTGGCCCTTGTTTAGTAGACATCAGACCTATTCTTGAAATATTATTAATTATTATTATTTATTAGGAAAATTGAAGGTCAACAAGACAGTACAAATCCCTCCCTTCATTCTACTGACCTATATCCCTGACCCTATGCACTGCAGATCGAGGTTTGGCAGCGGTAATAGTAGTTGTAGTGCTGGTTGTTGCAGGGAATGTAGTTGGCTTTGGTGTTGTGCTGATGGGTTCCGGAGTCGTGGTGGGCTTCAGCATTGTGGTGGTAACTTGTGTAGCTGGTACCGGTCCTGGAGACGTCTGATATTCTTTGCGGAGTGCATCGGCTATAAGTGTGTTTAAAAGTTATATATATCATGTAATTAGATACGACATATGTAGAAACATCATAAATGGTGTCAACTTGTTTAAAATGAGCAACAAAGTAGCCCAAGTTTATTCTGGCCACATCCCTGAAAATGTCTATGAGCACTAAACACATGCATGCCTTCACTGCTGTGTGGATATATAGCATATGTCTTGATGTGACATAGTATTACACCATTCTGCAGAAAGCAGTTACAAGGAATTAATCTGGAGCATTCATGCCTTTGATTCTCCCCTACAGTTTCTCCACTTTCACAAGAGAATCTATGACTCTGACAAGTATATCAAAAACACAACGTTCCTGACTGCAAATCAGCAGTATTAATTTCTATTGCACTGGCATATCTTCTCTACATGATAAGGCAACTTGAAACTCCATGTAAATGTAACTCATTTTACCTGACATATTATAAAATCATTAAGTGTGTCACTGAGCAAAACTGAGGTACCTACCACAGTACTGCAAGTTTGCTGACGTATGGACAACTTCTAGGGAAAAATGCTTCAGGGAATTGTGTGAAGATCAGAACAACAACAACCTGTTTAGCTGATATGAGGTGAGGTGGGGATAGCACAATATTTTGGGGGGCCTACATTGTTCTAAATTTTACTCATTTCAGACCAGTTATTTTAAAGTGCGGATACTCACTATTATGATGGAGGGGAATATGAGATGCTTCTAAATTTGCGAGCTGCCAAATGTGCCTCCTAAATATCACTATAAAAGCAATGATTTTATGTGTTTTTATATTTCAGTGCATCAGCTTTAAAAATAAACCCTTCAACTCTGCCCTCTCAGTCTATCTACAAAAACTGCCGCAGAAACAAACATTTCACACCACTGCCCTCAGTCCAGTTCCTCTCCACTTAGCTCACAGCCCCAAGAAAGGCCTAAGAAATTATGGGAATTAAAACAGGGCTGTGTATCATTATTCAATCCATTCATGGCTACATCAGCACAGCCTAGTGTTTCATTGCTGGAATGTTCTCCTGTTGGAAAGCATCATCCCCGACACGGTCTGCTGGATTAATTACTACCTGCTGCTAGCCAGTTAAAAATGCAAACCTCAGACAGTCTTAAAAGGGGTAACAAAGAGAGCTAAGAAAAACAAAACAGATGAATTGGAAAAATTAACAGAAACAATTTCCTTAGAGCTGAATTGTGCCTTGTCATGCACAGATGTGGTAAAGGGGAAAAGGTAGCAGGCACAACAAGTCCTCCCCTCTAACTTTGTACCTGGTGCTAGGGAAAAGGCATATTTTTGATCTTTGTACCCACAGCATGCAAGAACCAGGGAAATCTGAAGACGGCAACAATACTAGAACCCCCGGGGGAGGGGCTAGGAAGGACTGTGTTGACGGTGGAAACATGGCTCTGTCCTTCCTGCTGGGCAGGCCAAGAGGAGAACACATTGCACCCTGCAAGAGGGTAGCAGTGGACACTGCTGAGGGTTCGTATCCTGTGCTCCTGGAAGCATTATGCCTACCTGAGCTACAATACTTCTGAGAGTTACTGTACAGGCACTGATGCTCCTACCCACCTCCTGCCAGTGCAAGGGAGTGGCTGAAAGCCACAGTGTAGGCCTTAATATTGCACTGCAGTAGAGCAGTACCATGGTACATGCAAAGCTTAGGTTGTGATGGTGCCCTTGTATCCTCACTCCCCTCTCCTTCTTTATCTTGGCATGCTCCTTGGTGATGGTTTGCAGAAGCAGAGGCTCATTCTCTTGCTATGAGAATCCAGAATAGAGGCTGCAGGAGAGGTAGACTGGTATACATTACAAATTCAAATGCAGACTTTTTAGACTGAAGGGCTAATTCATGTCTAAGGATTTGCTGTGAGCCACAGACCATACCTTGTTCAGGTGATTTTTCTGATGCATTAGAGATGTCTGTATTCCTGGTAACCTTTATATCTTGTGCCGACTTTTTAGATTCTGGATGAAGGAAAATAAAGCACTGTGAAGGGGTGAGTTTGGCCTATGAAGCTCCCTGCTGGGGAGGAGGGGGTGTCTAGCTGTTCTACTACACCCTGTCCCAAGAAGCAGCAAGCTGAGAGGAAAAGAACAAAGAAGGTGGGTCTTCTAAGTTTGTCTAGAGAGGACTTTCTGTAGTGGCCATTTTGGAAACTATAGACCTAGTCCTCCAAAGGCTCGAGGGGCTATTAATAGCCAATCAGATAGAAGGAGCAGCCTGGCCTTAGCAGAGCAGTTCCTGGCTTGGATCAGAGGGGGCCTCCTCTCTGGCCAAAGTACCTTAAGGGATGACCTGTTGGTTGTGGGTGGATCTTTGCTCCCTGACTGGTCACAAGTCGGGTAGCATAAACCCCCAGTAGGGGATGGAGCTTGTTTGGGAGGTTGAAAAAATGGCTGAATTTGAAGGGCCCAGATCTGCGGTTGAAGACCCTAGCTAATAGGGTATTAATTAGACTTCTATTTGGACTTTGTGTCCAAGCCACTGAAGACCCAACAAAGTCAGCTGGCAGCCTGCAGGAGGCAACGGGGTGAGCAAAGGACTGTGCTACTGCACCCACAGCAAGGAGGCACTCGAGGTGAGCGTCTCTACACAAGCACCTTTCAAAAACGTAGCATTAGGAGAAAACCATTTTGCTTCTTTCTCCCATTTACTGAGCATAAATCACAAGATTGTCTAGGGACAAATACATTGGTATCTCTAGACCAGTGGTTCTCAACCTTTCCAGACTACTGTCTCCTTCTCAGGAATCTGAGGCCCGAGCCCTGCCGCCCAGGGCTGAGGCATGTAACTTCGCTTTGTGGGGCCCACTGTGGAGTGGGGCCCCAGGCATTTGCCCTGCTTGCCACCCTGTAACTCCAGCCCTGCACTTGTGAATCCCCCTCCACCCCCCGCTGCTCACAGACCCCAGGTTGCAAAACACTGATCTAGATGAGTTGATGTAACCTCTGAAAGACCGCTGTGTACCCCTGGTTGAGAACCACTGTTCTAGACTATGGTATACTTTGGAATTGGAGTACACTATTACTTCCTTGATGCAAGTCGTATCCCACCAAATTCTGCAGTCCTTTACTCTGACAAAACTCCTAGGGGCTTCATTGGGACTTTTGAACTGAACCAAAAAATGTAAGGTTTGGCTAATAATACAGCAAAATTCAGATAATTTACAAACCATTATGTTGATTCTGCTTCCAAGTAACATGATGCCCTCAGAAAGAGCACAAACTGCAAAGGATTTTGACTCCTGATTGCTATTGAAAGTCATTTAAACCCTGCTCCTGCAAACACTTTTGAATGTGCTTGCCTTTGAGCATATGAGTAGTTGCATCCACTTAAAGTATTTGTAGGACCAAGGCTTTAATGTGTGTAGAGTGGCTGGTTAGTACTAGTTTGTATATTATATTTCAGTCATTAATTAAAATGCAGTCACAAGTCATTCACACTTGACATTGTCAAATCACTCAGGGGCCCAGATACTAAATTCCATTAACCCCAAGACTCTGATTCAGCAAAGCCCTTCAGCATGTACGTAAGTCTGATTGACTTAATTTAGCACATGCTGAAGGGCTTTGGTGAGTCAGAGTGACTACTGGTGGGTTTGGTGTTTAGTTTTTCTCTCTCTTTTTCAGCAGTGCTGTCTTATTTTAGAGCTGACCCTAGAGTTATAACTTCCCCATTAATTTGGATTCTTTTTTAAACCAGCAGCTGTTGTCTGTTTGTACCAACTGTGAGTAGTTATAGCTTGGGAGACTTTTCTTGCTCTGCACAGGTTTTGGGGTGGGGGGCTGCCACTTGCATTAAAAAGCAAAAAGAGAAAATATCAGGTGGCATGAGTCTCTAGGGACATTGGGACAATAATAGACAGCCATGTGTGAAGAGGGTGTTTTGACTAGTTTGGCAGCCAACCAGTGAGTTACTCTAAGGAGTCTCTCTAGCTGCTGGAGATAATGGGTTCAATTTTCTAGTCAGGTAAAGTGGTTGTAATGTCTTAAATTGGAGTAAAACTGGCACTTCTCAGATAAGGAAGAGGTAACCATCTGTTACAAGATGGATCCTGTATCCTTTACAGAAACCCTAATGTGAGAAATCAATTGCACAGCTGTGCTCCTTTGATAGGCACAGTTTGGCTGGGAACATGGATGTCTGGTGGGAAGAAGGCTCCTTGGGGAGGGGGGTCAGGACTCTCTGATTCATGTGGAATTGGGCTGGGGAGAAACATGTCAAAAGATTAATCAGAAACTGAGTTTGATACAGGAATTGTTATCAATCCCTTTGGTCATCTCGGAGCTTTCTTCTCAACAGCACACAGCATCACTTGCCAGGATCTTTTTCAGTTTATGCTGCTTAATGGAAGACCAGTGGCCAATACATTTTCTGCCATCCATAGTTTGCTGATGGCTGAGGCCACTGACATTTTGTATGTATAACTGAGAAGTGGCTGGATGAGGCTTCCTTGTATTCATTTCTGTTATGAGATGTGATTAGAGCACCAATAGCAGAAATATTATTTTGAGTTAGACTGATTGCAGCCTATTGAGGCTTTAAAGTCCTAACCCATGACTGTGGGGGCACCTGCCTTGGTGTTCCCAGCTGTGGTAGGGGGCTCAATGAGTGGGTGTATTTGTGGTAAGTCTTTTGGTTTTCTTTTCCTTTTCCTGGAAGGAGACACATTTTCATAAGCATGGTCTCACTTCTGTGGGTGTGATTTGTCCCCGTAACATATGTGCTCATGAGGCCTTTTTTGGTTGGCCTATTTGAATTGCAGGCACAAACCTGAACATTTGCACCTGTAAATATTTGACTGTGAGTGCAAATCAGTCACTGAGTGGTGAAAATACTTGGATTTGCAAATGCAACTCACTTTGTAGGTACAAAGTAACTGCTGAAAATCTTCCAGGGGTACACTGACAGGTCCTCAATACAGCTTAACATTTAGGCTACGAGTCACTTGTGTTCATTTGTGTACATGTGACCTGAGATTTCTGTAATTGGGACACTTCATGGATCCAGTAAAAAGAAAAAGATAGAAACAAAGTCTTATTTTTGTACTGTGAAAATGCGCTGAGAACCAGTGCATGGATTTTGAGCTATATGTTTGCAATACAAGCAACTAGAACATTCAAATGTAACTATGCAATTGTGCAAAAAACCCCAAACAACCCATTACTTTGAGGATAACAACCCCCATATTTTACTTTCATACAATAATGTGCAATTGGGTAACATTAGTAGCTATAAACATTTGTTCAGCATGAATGTGTCTGGAATGTAGGTACACGTCGATAAACACGTGAACTCATTGAGAAGCCACAAAATAGCCACATAGTAGCACTGCTAAATAGTAGTGGATAACCTCATCAAGGTTCAGAAATCACACTGGCAGGCTGTGAATCACTAACAGAAAAGTACATAGCACTATAAGACAGTGCTATGGCTATACCCAAGGCATCATCTCACACAGTCGATCACATGTGGTGGTCAAATAGGATGTCTCATTAGGGCTGGGGCCATTCAGTACTATTTTCATACACTTATCAACAATAGATCTACCCTCTATTACAACCCCAGTGGCTCCTATGTGCATTACACTGGTGTAACAAGGAGCTGATATCTACTGCACCTCAGTGACGAAGACATTAACAATAGTCAATATACCAGAGATTAACTGGTATAAGACCTGATCCAAAGCTCATTGAAGTTGATGGGAGACTGTTCGTTGATTTCAATGGATTTCATACCAGGAACATAGAATAGAGTGCAGGTTAGAATGGTGCCCACAGGGAAGGTGCCCATTACTGCACTAGGCTGGCCATTTTTTGAAAGGCTGGGGCTCTTGTCAGTTGACATTTATTATGGTTTGTATGTATTATTATCCATGCAGTTGATCACCCAAAGAGGGATGAGTAAATAGCATCAGACGAAAAGGCAAATATACACCCCCTAACCACAGGTAGAATCCAAAACTCATTCATGCAAATGGTATAGAATCATATTCTCTGACTTAAAGCAAGAAAAAGCACTGGGGGAAAGAGGTCTGTGGGGAAAGATAGCAATAAATAACAATGTTCTACAATAACTGGCTTTGTTGCCACATATATTAGAGAAAAGCATGTGACGGTTTTGTATAAAGTATTCACACCTATTTGGGAACTAATACCAAGTGATGATGCATTTCTGACTCATAGCAATAAAAACTTTATACCATTTCCTCATCTGTTAATACATATAATATATGTATATATTAATACTATTAATACCTATAAAATATGAGGGAACATCAACTGTAATTACTTGCCTGCTTTAACAGGTGAGCTTTTTGAGGAAGAATATTCAAGAGTTGATGGGTATGTCACACCTTTCTTTGGTTTGCCTTCTGCAAAAGACAAGAATATATCAGATTCAGAACGATATGGACTAGGAACCTTTTAAATGTAATGGAAAACAGTCCTGTAAATAGCTCAGTGAATTCTAAAATATAACCCACATGACAAGCTGACATCCAAAGAATTCCAAGTTCTCACAGGGCAAAATTTGCATCAAATGTAATGGTGCAGAATCAGGCCCTAGAACCAAACCCTGTAATTCCCTCCGTTCTCCTTGATTCCATGATAATGTCTAAAAATCATTCCACTAAATACACCAATATCTAAATAAGGGGAACACGTGAAGTACTCATGCAAGAAGCGCTACATGACATGGGATCCCTTTCTTTAACTACATCATTTTTTTTAAACCTCTGTTTCATGATATATCATTTCTAATGTGTCATTTACAATAATAACAGTGAGACTCCCTCCCATGTGTGTGTGCTGGGTCATATAGTAGTTATATCTGGATCTAAAATGAGGGTCCTTCCCTTGAAAATGAGGCACAGTTCTGTTATGCTCTAAACCACAGACCTTTCTAGTGCCACACCAGATGGCATTTCTATTGACATGTGGCTATGAGGACTCCTCTTAAGTAGTAGTTTTGATGCTGTTGTGTTCACAGTACTAGGGAAGCCAGAGTACACTCTATACTCTGGGCCAGATTCAGAACCGTTGGCACAGAAGGATGTGAATTGCGTTTCCCTACCCCAGCTACAGTTATTCTCTCCCCTCCCCCTGCCACTGTGCCATAGAGGGGATGTACCAGTGTGGATGACAGGGGGTGTTCCTGCTTAAGCATTAACTTCCACAGAAGCTGTGCCAGCAGATGCTACTGAGGAGAGGCACTGAATCAGCATCACCAAGGCAACATCTCATGTCAGATGGCGCTGCCTGTACTTTTTAAGTTGTGTGGCTCTCTTGTTCTGCCAGATCCTCATCCCTTAGTGGATTTGCTACATCCATGGGCCTCTGCTGGGGTTTATGCCAGAATCTAACCTTCTCCATATGAGGACAATAGCTGAGTCAGAGAAGCATTGCCTTTGTTCCCCAGTTCAATCTCTTCTTAGCAACTCCAGCCCCTTTATTCCATTTCCTCTGAAAGCCTGCGCTGTTGTAACCAATAAAATCACCAGGTGATGAAGTGAATTTGCTTTCTAAACATGGCAAGATGCAAGGGTCAGTTTCAGCGCTCACTTACACTGCTAGAAGTCAGGAGTTGCCTCACTGAAGTTGAAAGGAGTTACACTGACGTACAACTGGTGTGAAAGATGGTCTCGTCTTAATATCTGGTACTACATGTGATTTGTAATTTAACTAAGGTCTGCAAATGTGCAGCTAACGCTAAATTGCTCGGTGTGACTGGCCACTCGGTGAGCTCTGGCGTCTTTGGTAAAGAACTGTTTGTGTCCCCTGGGTGTTCCATGCATCCGTGGGAGCTGCTCGAAATGGAGAGCTGATTATTGGTGTGGCAATCGTGCTACTCTTACAGTGACAAGAAAGCTGCCACAAAATCCATCGGAGTTTGTATAACCATAATATGCGTTGAAAGATGGGGTTGCTGTTAAAGATGGGTTGAAAACCTGAGTATTATTGAACATACAGATGTTTGAAAAATAGGTGCATAGGTGAAATGTTCCCCACCCTCTCACCACTTACTTGTCACTAGCACACTCAGACATTTGGGACTCTCTTTTCTTTACCTAGTAGCCACAAAATTCCCATTAACCTGAATGGAGTCATTCACATGAGTGCCAAGACATTTTGGAACTTGAAAATGAATGAGAGTCCATTTGCATACCTCCTAGTGTGTTCACCACTTCAATCCCAATGACCATGCCTTGTGCTTGTTCCCCACTTCTCCTCTGTCACACCACTTCGCAGGCCAGGTCCCTTAACTGTTCCTCTTCTGCAGATGCTTATTCATCTCAATAGTTTGTGATATTTAAACTGGTAAGTTTCCTATCTGGGAACAAACTGTCAGCACGCTTTCACCATACAATACCATGTACGCTTTTGATTTGCTGACAACTAACTTGGCTGGTGTATAGACAATTCCTCAGCTCAGATGTCAAAGCTGACCTGGAGTCAGATGCCTCCATTGGCTTTTCTGGTATTTTGTATTTCTAGTCTTTATGCATCTCTTTTCTTATAAGTAATAATTCACAAACAAATGTAAACTTTTTTTTGCCAGTGGGGTTTGTCTGCATCCAGCCACAGGCCAACTGAAGCAAAACTAGATGAAGAGTTATGGATCGCCATCTTTTAGCCTTTAAATTCCTCACAAAGAAAACCACATGTTTCAGAAGGCCCAGTAAGGACTACCTTCCCTTTAAATATGACTCTTTCTGCATGAACTACTATGATTAGTCCCACTGACCCCCAATCAATTCCCTGCCATGGTGTACCTCAGTCCCACTGTGGCCATTGGTGTACCTCGGTCCCTCCTATTTTCTGCCAATGGCATGCTATAGTTTAATCTCTGGACTGCAGTAATACTTTAGTCCAATCCAAGTTATTGGATTCAATGCAGAGGTAACTGAGTGGAGTTTAATGGCCTGTGATGTAGTCTCTTCTGGCCTTAAACTCTGATTTCAGTAAGGCCACTCACAGTGCAAACAATTAAGCACAGACAGGATTGGAGCCTTACTCGAGGCATTTGAATGTTATCATTCCTATGTGTACCCAGTCTAGCTTGAACCTAGTCTTCCCTTCTCTGGCTTGGTCTACACTACCCCCCCTAATTCGAACTAAGGTACGCAACTTCAGCTACGTGAATAAC